ATTACTGATTCTCACCAACACTTGTTGTTTTCTGTCTTTTTTATTATAGCCTCCCTAATTGATACAAAATAGTATCTCACTGTGGTTTTGATTTGTATTTCCCTAATGATTAATAATACTGAGCATCTTTTCATGTGCTTATTTGCCATTTGTCTATCTTCTTTGGAGAAATGTCCATTCAAACCTTTGCTCATTTTTTAATTGGGCTATTTGCCTTTTTATTGTTTAGTTGTAAGTGTCCCTTATATATTCTGGACACTAAATCTTTATTTGATATGATTGCAATATTTTCTCTCATTTTTTGTGTTATATTTTCTCTTTTGATGGTGTCCTTTGAAGCACAAAAATTTCTAACTTTGATGAAGTTCAATTTATCTACTATTTTTTCTTTTGGTTGCTTGTGCTTTCAGTGTCATAGCTAAGAAACTATTGCCTAACTCAAGATCATGAAGGTTTACACTTGTGTTTTTTTCTAAGACTTTTATAGATTTAGTTCTTACACTTAGGCCTTTGACCCATTTTGAGTTAATTTCTGCCTATGGTAAGAGGTAGGGGTTTAACTTCATCCTTTTGCATGTGGAGATCCAGTTGTGCCAGCACAATTTGTTAAAAAGACTCTTTTTCCCCTAATGAATTGTTTTGCACCCTGTAGAAAATCAAATGGTTCTAAGTATATGAGTTTATTTCTCACTTCTATTCCATTGGTCTGTATGTCTATCCTTATGCCAGTAGCACACAGTCTTAATTACTGTAGCTTTGTAGTAAGTTTTAAAACGTTGTGTGAGTCCTCCAACTTTATTCTCTTTATGAAGATGGTTTTGGATATTCTAAGACCCTTGTGTTCCTATATGAATTTTAAAATCTGTTCTGAAAAAAAAAACACCTGGAATTTTAGTAGAGATTACATTAAATATATAGATCAATTCGGTGACCACTGCCATCTTAACGACAGTAAGTTTTCTCACCTAAGAACACAGGACTTCTTTCCATTTATTTAGGTCTTCTTTAGTTTCTTTCAATGATATTTTGTAGTTTTCAGTGTACAAATCTCATTGGTTCTTTCATTTATCTAATTTTTTGTTTTTAAAGCTTGGCACCCGAGCTAACAACTGTTGTCAATCTTTTTTTTTTGCTTTTTCTCCCCAAATCCCCCCAGTACATAGTTGTATGTTTTAGTTGTGGGTCCTTCTAGTTGTGACATGTGGGATGCCGCCTCAACATGGCCTGATGAGCAGTGCCATGTCCACACCCAGGATCCGAAGTGGTGAAACCCTGAGCCACTGAAGCAGAGCGTGCAAGCTTACCCACTCAGCCACGGGGCCGGCCCCTCATTTGTTGTTGATGATAACATTTATAGTTCCATGGCTTCTAAAGGCTAAACCAGAATGTGTATATGATTTGGCAAGACCACAAAATGTTCTGTCTCTGAGACAATCAGTTGCAGAACAGGCTGGACAATATGTGCCTCCTGGAGGCTGATCAGACACTATCTACATCAAGAACCATGACACGATGTAAGGTCACTATTGATTCTTCTCATATCTGGATGATGCATAAGGATGCAGAGTATAGGGCAGTACATTTTGTGGTTCTCAGTGTCACAACCAAGTTTATTTTCTTTGAAAGCCCTGAGTTGGTCTAATTTCTCAGGTTGCCATGAATTGTTGGGACTAGAGAGGGCGTCCAAAGAATCACATCTCTCCATTCCTACCAGCATAAATGCTTCTACATATCTGACTTACTGCTTCCTGGGCACCTATGCAAAATATGCTTGATTAAGGTTTAAATAAAAGCCACAAACGTGTAGCCCCCAATATCTCTGTTAAACCCCATAACTCAGGTATAAAGTTACAGGGATTTCCATCTAGCACAGAGAGTTCTATCCTAGAATTCAATGAACTTCTCTTTGTGGGCATTTTACCTTACACACTGAGTATCTATAAATCCACAACCTGTCCCCAGTTATGGCCTTGCTGATACTATCAAATCTTTATTGCCCATCTGTTTATAGCTAATACTTTCATTTTTAAGTCAACCTGCCTCTATTTCCAAGTCAATGTTAACTCAGTGAATGAAAAATAATCAATTTTAATATCAGCCCAAGAAGAGCAGACTTAGAAAGATAAATATGGTTGTGGTGAAGGGGAGATCGTTTATAGATAATTATAAAATCACATTTGGCTTATCTACATTTCTTTTTTCCCAATCCTGTAAAACTGGAATATTCTTCAAAGTTATCTTCATTTTTATAATAGAAAGCCACTTCAAAATAATCCATGGCTGTTTTACCGACTTCTTATTGCATATGGAAACTCAGGTCTAAGTGAAAAAGTGACTTGCCTAGGGCCAGAACATATCTGATCTAATCAGATGCGGAAAGTCCTGATGATGAATCTATTATTTGACCATCCTAAGAGTGGAACGTGGGAGAGGACAAGAAAGACAGAGAGTGAAATCGAGGTCACTTGGTGTTAGAGGAGCTGCTTGGGCTTCAATAAGGGGTGCAAACACAGAGGCTCAACTGTATGTCGAGAAGCCACTCTATTCCCACACCGTCAATGAACCACCTCATAACCCACGTCTTCTGTGCCATTATAGTCACACCTCCCTGGTAAAGAAACCAAAACAAAAACAATAGAAATAGCAACCCTGCCTACCATTTCTTATTCTCCTTGACAAGCACACTATGAAATGCAATATGTGCTCCACAAATGCCCTGGAATTCTAAATATGTACGACCACAAGAGCCCTTTGAAAGCAACGAAAAACACTAACCTCATAATTTACTGATGTGGATACTGAGGCACAGAATTTAGGCATCTTCCAACAGCTAATTAGCATGTGACTTAAGACCAGCATCATGCATCTTGAATCGCCATCTGACACTCTCCTCACTATGATTAACCACCATCCATAAGGCTGACTAGATATTTGATTCCTTTTTTCTTAAGTTTTGCAGGGATAAGAATGAGGAGGCAGATCCTGGTTCTTGGAATTCATAATGTGCATATACTTTCATAGTTTCCTCTGCCTGCTTGTCCGTTGGGCTGTACATGTGTCTGGACTAGCCTCTGGAAATCTCCACCTCACACATGCTGAAGGTTAGAGACTTTACACTCCAGTTCTATTTTCATTGCTGGCACTGCAGGGCTTTCAGAATATCATAGTGAATACTCTGCTTCTTCCTTCTTCCTCCACCAGAACTCATTTTGACTCACACTAAGATATCAGCTCCAAGGATGGCTAAAGGGGTCAGGCATTGAGACCTAGGGGGAATGACCACAGACATTTGTGGTTCAAGGAAGGAGGAAGATGGCTAAGGGAAGCTGAAAATCTCTCTTTACTACCTTGTTTTCCATCAGCTTCATAGGCAGATTCCACAAATCCAGCCAGTCTGGTCTGAAGCTGCCCTGCCTTGTTTTAAGCCATGAAGTTTGTGGTGATTTGTTAGAACAGCAATAGGAAACTAACATACTCAGGTTAAAACAGAGCTGCAGAATCCCTTAACTCCCAGCAGAAGTTTGGAGCACATGCTTGCAGGAGCTGGTTGTGAGGGGCTGGGAAAGGTGAGAAAACAATTTCTGCAGAAGACAACTGAACGAGATGTGAGGTTCAACCAACTCTGAGTGCGTGCATACTCAGAGAACTAGTAATTGTCATGGGTTGAAGTGTGCCACCCAAAATTCTTATGTCGAAGTCCTAGCTTCTCGTAACTCAGAAAGTGACCTTATTCAGAAACAGGGTCTTTACAGAGACAATCAAAATAAAACAAAGTCACCAGGGTGGGCCCTAATCTATAATGACTGGTGTTCTCAAAAATGGGGGAAATTTGAAGACAGACATATACGCAGGGAGGATACCATATAAATGTGAAGACCGCCATCTACAAGCCAAAGGAAGAGGCCTGGAACAGATGCTTCCCTCTTAGCCCTCAGAACCAACACTGCCAGCACCTTGATCTCAGACTTCTAGCCCGCAGAACTGTGAGATAATAAATCTCTGTTGTTTAAGCCACTCAGTTTGTGGTACTCTGTTACAGCAGCCCTGGCACACTAATACAGTGATGAAGGCCCTGAAGAAAGACTACATGATTTTCACTGGAGCAAATGAAATGTCTCGTTGAAAGACCTGGATGGCTCCTAGCTGGCCATGAGGAGTCCTGAAGAGGGTAAAGGAGGTGGACAGCACAAAGCCTGTCTCCAGGTGCATTTCAGTGTGGGTGTGCTGAACAGCACAGTAGCTTAACAACTACTGATGGCTCTCGCTAAGTTGTGGGAAGAAAGCTTGGTCTGAAACATATGAGCAACTCCGATAGGGAGAGGATTCGTGACAGAAGGCGGCCACAATCACAGAAATGAAAGAGAAAGAAAGAAGACAAAATGGGGAAGAGGTTGAGGGATTGATAGTGAGAAAGGAAAGAGACATAGAAAAAGAGAAGACAGATTAAGAAGAAAACAAATTCGATCAAGGAACAGCATATTACACGTCGGTTTTTAAGCACTGTTACAGATAATATCTCATTTAAATATCACAATGGCCCTGTGAGGTAATTACATTATAATTTATGCTTTACAGATGACAAAGCTGAAGTCGAGCGCAGTGAGTCCACACGGCTGAATGGCTATGTAGTCCTGTGACAAGTAATTCCTATGCCCTGCTTGTTTCTATGTCTGCTTTCCTGCCCCCTCCCCAGGAATACACAGAGGCCCCTCTTCACTACCTTTCTTGCTGCTCTTCTCTCGCCAAGACTGCTGAGGCAGGTCTAGTCTCTTGTCATAAAAACGTGGAAGCCAAAACCCACCAGATACTTGTTCCAAAGAAATACGGATTCATTCACCTGGTGATGATTGTTTGTTCACATAAACTACAACAGCCGCTCGCAACCCTCCCACTCCCAGCCTCCTCCCTCTTTTTCTTCCCAAACGTCAGAAGTCCACCCCTAGATGCATCACTGCTATCCCCCTCCCACCCTTCGTACCCCCGAAACCCGCGTTCACTACCGTGTCCCTCCTCGGGTCACTCGGGATTCAGATGGAACTGGTCCAGCCAGGAAAAAAGAAAGAAATGACCGGTTTGGTTAGGGCAAGGTGTGCCAGCCTCAAGGAAATGCTTTTCAGTCCCTCCTTCCCACTGTGGGGCGTGGCCACCAGCAAAGGATGGAGTTTGGGCGGGCTCCCCACAAAGGGAAGTCTGCGGGCACTGAGGTTTCCGGGACTCACCACACACCAGCCAGCAGGAAACCTCTGTTGAAACCGTAAAAGCTGGACTTGTTGCTGGTCTACATACTATTTTCCTTCTCTAGCGATTGCTAGATGGTCAGGTATAAGGAGACGCCAGTCCAGGTGAAAACGGAGTCAGGATAAAGGGCAACAGCGCCACCTCACGTCCGACTCCATGGCAGCTGCCTTCATTGGTGCTCAAAATGGTCAGGATCTCTCATTTAGCATTAGTCCCCTCTAGGGACATTTGTAACCCCAGTCTTTGCTGCGTGTACAAGATAGCATTGACCACTGCTATGACATTAGGGAACCTATAAAGAATAAGTGGAAATAAAAATCCCAGGACTAGGTAATCAAGCATTAGCATATGTTTTTTAAATACCCATTATGTGATGGGCTCTCCTCTCGGGCTATAGCCGTGAACAAGATAGTCATGTTACAGAATTTACAGTCAGAGGAAACACTAAAGAAAGTACACAGCTGTAAGAATTCCAAATTATATATTAACACCTAATACAAGTTCTATTAAAGAAATATGTCACAGATAACTTGAATGGGTAACCAGTTTGTATTCAGCATTGACAGCATACCAAGCAGAAATGGGCATCCATTAGAACAAAAAGAATTTGGGTGCATGTACCTGGAGTCTTCAGGGATTGAGGTACCTCAGTCCTCTAGAGCCTTCTCTGTTGAAATTTTGATTTCCTTCGGCATTCTGTTAAAATAGGATGAATTGAACTAAATGCCACTGAATTGTACATTTTAAAATGGTTAATGGTTAATTTCATGTTACATGAGTTTTTCCTCAATTTTTGAAAAAGGATGAAATCTCATCAGTCAATTGTTCTTCCCATCCTTTATGTCATAATTGAATAATAAATGCCAAATAAACTGACCTGAACTTCATATTATATAATCTCCTACTCTGCTTCCCCCAGCACCCTAATCTCCTTGAGGGCAGAGACCGTGGCTTACTCATTTTTGTAATTCCTGCAGCACCCTAGCATATTGTTAGATACCCATTCTGATATGCAGAGTTTTGTTTAAAAATCTAGTTATCAAGGAGCCATTGTAGTGACAGAACCTATCATTTCTATGACCTAGGAGTTTTTAAAAAGCAAAATATGACAAAGAGGGAGAAGCAAAAATTTATTCTTCAATTTTATTGAGCAATTCAAATGAAGGATGAATTTTTCAAATTTCTGAGATAGAGAAAACCCTGGAAATAGCAATGCTCAGACACAGAAACACCTAAGCACATCCTATACAGAGTGCTAGTTAAACAGAAGGCATACACTCATGCCCACACATACACTCATGAATAAGGTAACTGGATATCTATTTCTCTTTTCTCTTCAAGTGTTTATTCCATTATCATTTCAAGTGTTACCTCTGTCTCAAATTTCTGAACCTCTGCCTCATTTTCAGCAATGCTTAGATCCCAAGATCCCTGCCAGATGGTCATTTCTGCCTCGCTATTAATTCAATAAGCATTTGCTGAATGCCCGTTATCTGCACTGCTCGTGTTCAGTGCTGAATCGTAGGATGTCACACTGAAGTATACACTGGGGGTCTCTTCCTTCTGCAGTTTACACCTCACGCTTCACCAGATCTTGCTCTCCTCCAAACGCCTGTGACAGCCATCCGTTCACATGTTATTGAGTGTATTCCCTCTTGCATGACTCTACAGTTGGAAGGAGGAATTCCATCTTGATCTCTGGTGGGGTGGACACTCTGGGAATCTATTTCTATGAAGCATGGAGAAATTCCTGGGAAATTATTCATTATAAGGAAAAAGAGAGTCGATCATGAAGGCTTTGTCCAATAACAAGAATAGCTTGGTGTTCAGCATTGCGCCTATCTCTTAGGGTCTTTTGGCAGAGGCATCATGACTTATAATTGAGTCCTAGGGAGAGGAGACTGTAAATACAACTGGTAGAGTTATTTCACACACAAAAAAACAAAACCAAAAGAAACAAAATATATCAGACCTTGTGTAGCATTGCTTTGAAACTTTCAAAGGAAGTTAACACAAAAGGCAGACAGATGTATTCCAACTTTATCTGAAAATGTAGCCCAAGCTCCCCATAGGAGGGCAGCAGGGACCATCAGTGGAAGACAGCTCCACAGGGTCCTGAGGCCTACCCAGAAGCCTTGCCTGGCACAGGGAAACAGCAACTTTGATGGAAGCTGTAAAGATTGAGTCAGCAGTAGGGTCACTGTAGCAGTACTCAGCACCTAAACGAGGCTTCTCAGGAACCAAGAGAACAGGAGACATTAGCAGAGAGACTCTAAGCCAGAGCTGGAAAATAGTGGACTCTAGGTAGGAGCTGGAGTTTGGGTTGGTGAAAATTAAGAGATATTCCACTCCCTTGAGGACTCCCAGGGCAAGCTGAGGAAAGAGTTTTTAAGATTAACCAGAGATTCTGCAACCAACTAAAGGCAGAGACAAAAGGGCATGGGCTATCACCATCAGTGTGATCTCATGTTTGCCCCAGGTGGTTGAGTCCTAGGAACGTTGATTATGGGTATTTAACTTTCCATGTGTACATTGTTTCCTTTTACACTGTGTATTGGTTTTCTGTTGCTGATGTAACAAATTCCCACAAACTTGCTGGTTTAAACAATTCAAAATTATCCTACAGTCCTCTAGGCCAGAAGTCCAACACTGATCTCCCTGGGCTAGAATCAAGGTGTTGGCTGGGCCATGTTCCTTTCCAGAGGCTGTTGGGGAGAATCTGTTTCCTTGCTTTTTCCAGCTTCTAGAGATCTCCCACATTTTTTGGTTCATGAACACATTTGTCCATCTTCAAAGCCAGCAATGGCCAGTCTAGTCCTGCATATCGTGTGTGTGTTTCTCTGACCCCTATTCCATTGTCACATCTCTCTTTCTCCCTGACCACAGCTGGGAAAGTTGCTCTACTTTTAAGGACTCATGTGATTATTAGGTTGGGTGTACAGGATAATTTCCCATATAAAGCTCCATAACCTTGGTCACATCGGTAAAGTCCCTTCTGCCATGTCAAGTAACATAGTGACAGGTCTGAGGATTGGGGTGTGGACTCTTTGGGGGGGCCGTTATTCTGCCTACCACGTATTGCTTGGAAGAGCTTTTGGAATAAGTTTCATATCTCATACCTCTTGGTGTTACCTATTTCTTGCAAACAGTAAGAGGTCAATAAATGCTGTTGACCATAAAAGAAGTATCTCACTTGCCGACCACTTTTATTCTGGTAAAGAACATTCATACTCCCCATGGCAAAAAATGTGATTATTTGGGACTTTATACTAACAATATGCTCCACTCATTTCTTTCTTCCCCTTTTCCTACCTTCTGCAAGAGTCTCATAGAATCATTCAGTGTAGTTTAGAGATCACTGACCTGCGGCTAGGTTCCACAGCTTCCATCAGCTTGGGCAGGTTGACCTTTCTGGGTCTCAGTTTCTCACTCGTAAAATGAAGAGGATGGAGTAGGTCCTTGTCAAATTTCACACCCCATGATTCCCTGATCCTTGAACACAAAAAACACGTCTGCTCCAAATTCTTGCCTACTGGAGCCATTTCCCAGAGCAGAACATCTCCAGCTCTGTCTATACTTTCTCAGTACGAAAGACATGCTACCAGGCAGCTCATTCCATTCATAACAGCACTGACTATCAGAAAGTTTTCCTTATACTAAATAAAGAGCGTAACTTAACCTCTCTAATCCCCAATTTACTTATTTGTAAAATGGAGATGAAAAATATCTACCTTGTAGAGTTAAGTAGTTCAAATAAGAAAATATACTTGAAAGTACTTCTTAAAAATTAAAAGCACTGGGCCCAGCCCAGTGGCACAGCGGTTAAGTGCGCACGTTCACCTTTGGTGGCCCGGGGTTTGCCAGTTTGGATCCCAGGTGCAGACAAGGCACAGCTTGGCAAGCCATCCTGTGGCAGGCATCCCACATATAAAGTGGAGGAAGATGGGCACGGATGTTAGCTCAGGGCCACTCTTCCTCAGCAAAAAGAGGAGGATTGGCAGTAGATGTTAGCTCAGGGCTAATCCTAAAAAAAAAAAATTAAAATTGCTACATAAATGTTAATTGTCATATTACTATTATCTGATATCATTAATAATAATTTTGATTCCTATTAACCTACACCTGTGCAATCTATGATGAGTTGTATAACTACCTTTTAAATTTTTTACCTTATTTCAGTCCCCTTCAGGCAAAACCTTAAAAATAATCCTGAATCAAAACTCTGACATATACTTTTCTGGCTACATTATTTAGACATGGTCAACTACAAGTTGATTTAAAAAACAAAAAACAAGAAAACTCCTTTTAAAAATATTTCTACCTACCACATTGTTAACAGTAAAAAGAACAGGGTTTTAATACATGCTATTAAATAATTCTCTAAAGACTGACACTTATTAGTTGATTTTTTTAAAATATGATTTTCTAAAAAGCTGTCTGTCTCCCTAAGAGGCTATAAGCTTCATGTTAAGTGTACCACATCCAATTAACTGTGAAAATCAGAAAGCAGGGAACTGCTGCCTTAATGCTCACCACTCTTTTTGCCCCATTCTGCCCCATTGAATGGCCTCAAGTAGAGTCCTTCTACCGTCTATATCTCTCTTGATCATCCCTCTTTCCTCTTTTCCATTGTCTGGGTTCACCTCCTCTTTTATTGCCTGAATTTCTCTTAGAGTCTTCTAACTGGCCTCCATTCCTCAGTCTCACTCTCCCTCTAATCTTTCATATTGCTGCCAGAAAGGTTTCTCTAACAAGCAAGTCTCACCAGGTAATACCTCCCTTCACTTAAAATCTAAGTTATTGCAGAATGAAATCTCTTAATGATCGTATATCTCTATAAACACCTTCTTTCTTTCTACTTCTCATTCTCTTCCAGTCATACTATTCATGTTCCCTACAACAATAGCAACAAAAAATAAACAAGAAGTACTAAAGTTCTCTCACTCACAAGCATTTGCATGCTCTGTTCCCTATGTCTGTAATGCCCTTCCCCTCCTAACTTACCTAATAATTCCTCTTAGTTCTTTAGGATTCAATTCACCTCTGAAA